CCGTGATGTTTCATCCATAGCGTTTATGTTTAGCATAATCATCAACCTATGTTGCTAGCTCACAAGGAACTTTTTTTTTTTAAGGCTGAGATCTGCTGTGGCAATGTCTTCAGCCATGACAATCCAAAAAAAGATGCTACAAATGAACTTCATCACCAGGGTATGAAATCATATTATCAGCAGTTATGCTCCCTGCTTCCAGGAAGAGACCTGCCTTTGGAAGTCTTCAGCACACCACCACAGGAGCACCTTTTGGGCTGATCATCTTTGTGCTTACTTCTGTTTTGCAGTAGATTTCACACACCAAGTTACTTGTGAGGCACATAACAGCCTTATTCAGGCATGTTTCAACCAAAATAAACAATATTAGTATAAAATAAGTGGCCATATGCCTAACAGCAGAAGTCCTTCATTGGACCGTGGCCCAAATTAACATGTTTGTTGCAGAAACAGATTTCTTACCAGTCATATTGCAAACAAATGGATATGCACAATAGGAGAGAAAAAAGTAAGTCCTTCAGCTGGGCTCTGTGATGTCTCCAATCCCACATTGCACAGATAAGAGTCACGTCTGTAGTTGCATTCAAGCCAAGGCACTTGGCCCAAATGTCTGCATCTAACCACCTGTGGCCCAACCTGGGCTTCTTATGTGCGATGACTCCGTTCTGGTTGTGTGGGATAAACAAGAGACAGGGCAGCACTGACTGCCTTTTGTAGTCAGAGTGACCCAACTAATGCAAAGTTCTGGGAAGGAGACAATACTAGAGAGAGCACTCCATGTCACAGCTTTACACGTCAGCTTTCAGAAAGCACACTGAAAACATATATCCAGCATCTTATAAAAGCACCATTGAAAGGTTGAACAGAGAGCACCGCATACACAGAATTGTGATCAAGACAGAAGACAGAAGCTGTTCAGGGAGCCATGGACAAGCACACAGCCCAGAAGAATCCCTGCAGGATGGATTCCCTGAAGGCACAATAGACAAGGGCTTAGAGCACAAGGTTCTCAGCCAGTGTTACAGTGGGGATAGTCCAGTTCCGGGTGACTCATGAGTATGAATCCCTGCACTTACTCATCCCTCACCTCTTGTATCCTGCTATATATAAGCAAGCCTGCAATTTATAATAGTAGAAAAATGGAAGCAACTAGTTTTTCACTGTTGACATGGATAAAGACCACCTCCCTGAATGCTCGTTGTCGGAAAACTTCGGTTCTTGAAAAGAAGCCTGATAATTCTTATTGCAAAGCTTAGTCATTGTAGCTACATTACTGGGCTTTTTAGAGGATGTTTGTGAGAGACTATTGCTATTGTAGGACTGATAGAGGTGCAGTACATTTTAATGTGTCTCCATAAAGCTGTTTCCAACAGACAAGTAAATGTTGGGGTTGTCCCTTTGAACTTTAAACACGGTATGGAAAAGAGTATGGAAGTACAAGCTACTCAGTAAAAAAGGCACTGTAACTGTAATTAGGTACATGCTTGTGCTACAAGTATCTGTGAAGAATCTATTTCCCTCTGTGACTGGGAAAGCAATTTTGCATTTACCGTGGTAGAAAGGGGTGACTGGTTTAGGTATGTGGTGAGAACTGGTTTAGCTCCGTGGTGAGAACAACTCCTATAGGAGACACAGATTCATGGAAGAGACATCCAAACTCCATTTCTGATTTCTACCTGTTAGCAGAAGGAAATGAAACCAGATCTTTTCACTACTGTATACACATTATACACACATTAAAGCTTGTCTTGGCCTTACTGTGGCTATTTGATGTGAGATCTTATTACCTAGTTGTGCCAGAAAATAGAGGCAAAGATATATACTGTGAAGCTTCCCCAGAAAAGATCACCAGATAACAAATACATATTTTTGGATGCTGATGTTTTATTTATGAATATGGTGAAAGAGGAAAAACTAGCAATGAAGAAACAAGCAGAAGAGACTCCCTTTACAGTCAGATTAATCTATTTGGGGATTACCGTTGGAAAAGAATTTCTATCCAATGTATTACTGAAAAGGAAGCACTGGCAACAGCCATAAAGGAACAGATCTGACTTCTGGGAAGATGGAACTAAAACAGAAGCTTGACCCTTTGTCAAGAGACGTAATTATGTACTTAGGAACCTTGGACTGAATTCTGAAACATTTTTCTTTAGCATTAGACTATATAATGGAGATTGTAGGGGAGTTACTGATTCCCCCCTGTGTCCTTGTCTGAGAGGGTAATTCCTTTTTGCAGCATTTAAGAGTCCAATGTACAGGGGTCTCAAGGGCAGGTACACATCCTGCAAGCAGCACTCCAAAATCTGAGCTCCCAGTGTAAGGCTGTATGAGGATGGTTAAAAATAGAAACAAAATACAAAAGAGAGGGGGAGGAATTTTACTGTGGAAAACAGAAGCCTGGGGGTGTCAAGAAGCAGCTGCCAGAACAGGGGAAAGAATGAAAGAAAGGACCTGAGTCTTGGGTCCCTTCTTCTGAACCCACAATCTTGATCCTCCTCTGAAAAACTGCAAAGAGAAATTTGGCACCCTCCCTTCATCCTCTGCCTTGCTGATCTTGAAGGGGGCACTTCTAGAGTGATGTTTGATTTCTTCTTTTGCACCTGAAAATTTTACTATCAACAGCTCAGTGTTATTCTGGCTTTACCTGTTATCCATAAGCTGGTATTGAAATTGAAGGTGAACCTGACAAAACCTCACGTTGTTACTGTTTCTCCAAAGACTGCAGTCATCATGTAATGAGTAAGACAATCCTTAGAGGATAACCACATCTTGAGATGTATTTGGGAACTTCAGGAGATGAAGGGTATGCCTACCACTAAGTTGCAGGAGTCAGACTATGACATATATAAACCTGCACCCCCAAGCAAGGAACAGACAGCAAGCACATAGTTAAAAGCTTCAGAAATTCTCCAGACTTAGCACAACAGATCTTCTGAAACATGATGCATCTTATCTTTGGCCTTAGAGAGTCTGACATAGAAGAAGAGAACAGTCAAAGGTGAACTTCATGAATTCACATTCAAGGGAACAGAAATAGAAACTCTTTTTGAGGGAAAAGCTCCAGAAAGGAAGACTGACATAAGCTTTATAGAGCACTGCAATAAAGTGGAAGCAAAGGGTTTGCTGCAGCTGTGGAAGCACGGCAGGATGGTCGAGAACAAGATGGATGTATGAGTGGTCTCAAAGGAAGAGAGTTATAGATCAGTTGTGCTGCACTGTCACATGAGGTCAGGATCCATGAAGTTTGAATCACCCTGCAGGCAGAGTTTGACTGCACACTTGCACTGCTCCTCAGAGCTGTACCACTTAAAGGCGAAGCCCATAAATCAGAACACTTCTTTCAGTCATGAGTTTATTTCTAATAAACCTCTATAACCAGATCTGTTTTGCTTTTTACAGTACCAAGTGATGTTGAATGCTGGCCAGTGATCTGAGAAGGACTCACTCCATCTGGTATAAAAAAACCTCAGTACCAACTGAGCTGAAAGGAAACCTATTTCAGCTACTATGGAATAAACCAACCTCAGTTTATGTACTTTTTATTTTGAATTAAAAATAGACTATTCTTCAAGCACATGCCAGATTATTATGTAAGTGCATGTATTTGACTGGTACCAAGTTTGGACTGTAATATATACTTGTGTCCAAGTTACATCTGTATGTTTATATACATGGGATATATGCACACATGTACACATAACAGTGCACAAAGGCATTTCACACAATGCCAGTTCTCTGCTATTGGACTCTTCCTGGACTACTCTTGAAGAAAAGTATCAACTTAGTACCTACTTATTTCATCCAAGCACTGTACTTTTTCTTTAATAGTAACAGAGTTACTTGGCATCTTTGAAAAGCCAGTGGCTTTCAAACTCCTTGTCAGAGCCCCAAGAAGTTCTTGGTTGCCCTCTTGTTCCTTTTACCAGAGGAACAAGGAGGACCAGTGGATATCCCAGACTAAATCCCCCCATCTCTTCTGCCTCTTTTTGCCCTTTGGCAGTGTTCTTTTACAGAGACTCCATTATTTTGATTGTAAAACCAGCAAGGCATGGTCCATATCCTTGCTCAAGAAGACAAAAAAAAAAGCAAAAAAGCAATTGTTCATGTATGTGGAAAAAAATTAAAGGAAAATATTTAAAGGAAAACCAAATAAAGCCCAAACAAAAATGGGATTTATCCACTCAACACAGTACATAATTTTTCTTATATAAGTCTTTAAAAAAAGATTCAACACTATTAAAGTTAGACTGAACATTATGCCAATGCATTCATTTGCATAACTTTTTGCAACATGACAGTTGTCTGGTGTGTGTTTGTGTAGGTGTATGTGTGCACGTGAGGGAACAAAGCAAGAACGTTAAGGGTCTCACGTGCCACTTTAAAGCAGTATTTCACAAATAATACAAATCCCTACAAATACCAATACACATCTCAAATATTGCAAGTCATATTCTACAGCCCTTGACGTAAAAAAAAAAGAAAAAGCCAACATAATTAATTCAAGTACATTTGGAGTAGGTCCCTTGTGAAGTACTGCTTCAGCTGCAATGGATGTAGACAGAGGTCCCCAAAAGACACAAAAGTGGGCACACCTTCCCCAGCCCTGCAAAGTAAGTCTGAGTTGAGGTACAATGATCCACGATTTGCTCAACTTTGTGGATGCCCAAACTTGAATGATGCTTGAAAAACATTCTGAAGCAAATGACAGATAATAATATCTTCAAAAGAAAAGCTAGTTTTGAGTAAAGGCAGTCTTTTTGGTATGTAATCCTATCAGGATGACAGGCATGGCACTCCTCCCCAAATTCTGGTTGTCTGGGAGCGAAGAACAAAGAAGCCTTAATGTTGTCCTGGTTGTTATTCAGACCTGACGTACCCTTTCCCATGAGCCTCGAACCACCACCCAGAATAACCTAGGGGGCAGCACACCCTGGCTGAAACTTATGCTGCTTCTCCACAACTTTTGTCCTCTACTTCGCTTTGTTACTCAAAAGGAGAAGCCCTTCCCTCTCCATGTTTCACGTGTTCCTTGGAAAATACCAGCGGATAAATCTGCCTGCTGGAGTAGTTAAAGTCTGGTGAAATCCCTGTGGTGCTGCAAATCCCCTATGCTCTCATAGTCATTCTCTCCTGAAAGAGCAGCATGGTTGGTGTTAGGCACAGACAAGGTCCTGTCTTCTTCTTGGCTCACTGACTGGATAGCTTCATAGTCAGGCTCCAGCTCCCCATTTGGTCTGTCTGCTGATTGAGGCACAGTGGTCGTATTTAGGGTGTTTTCAAAGTCCTTCACACTTGCATAGAGGCCACTGCAAATTGATGGGGACCTCTGAGATGCAATTTCTTGAATACAGGTGTAAGGAGAATCCAGTGCCTTGATGGCCTGTCCCGGCTTACTCACCGATGAGTACATGGCTGAGATCTAGGACAAGGAGACACACGCTAAGTATTTAAGCATGGCATAAAGCTTGTGTGCCAGTTTCTACCCCTTCTACCACAAGGATGCCTGCTGCTTATACAAAGGCAGGATCTTCTTATAAAAACACATCCTTTCTTACAAAAAACCTCCCACATTTCTTACAGATAATTTATTTTCTGGCATGCATTTATAAATCGATTTTCTTTCAAAAAAGACTGCTTTATACAAGAGGTTTATAAATGTAAAAATTCCTTGATCATAAATCCCCTGCAGGCAAATTGGACACGGGACAAAAGGGAATGGCTTTGTGAGCAGGGGCTCTTAAAAGATTTGCTATGGTCCTGGAGCCAGCTTGAGCTCTGTGGGGAGACAGGGGTCAAAGGGATGATCAGGTTTGGCTGCTGTAATGTAGGCAGATGCTGTCTGATCCTTGAGGTTTTAAAAATTATTATTTTTATGCTCAAGCAAGTGCACAAAGGTGACCCCTAATGAAGAAGTGAAGAAGTCCATGTCCACACACGTCCCTCTGCTGAGGGCTCCCTGGGTTGGTGCCACTCGTGACTCCCTCTCCCGATCCAAGTGGATACTACCCCTTGCACAGGGGTGCATTCTTCTCTGGTACCTAATAACACAATTGCAACATAGCTCTTCTGTTACATTTGAAGTCCTTCCCAAACATGCTAGGCCACTCTGGATTTGTATCAATCCAAATAAAACAGTAGATTGGTATAATAATGTCCATTACCATTAATTAACAGTGACTGATGCAAATGAACCACATCCCTTTATCAATTCTGTATTTTTTAATTTTTTATTAAGAGAGGCATCCAATTGCAGATGGCAGTACTTCTTACTTCATAATTATTTTAGCCAACCAAACAAAAATGGTTTTTCCACTTATCCATACTTCAGCCCTTTCCAGCACTACATTACATGAACCCAGTTCAAGGATCAATTTATTCATTAATGTCTGGGTGCACTTCTCCCAGCAGAAAGCATTAGCTCACCCAGCTCAATGCCAGGCCTGTGTTTACTTTTGTGTCTGGAGAACGTATTTATAAATTGGATGGGTGTACTGGAGATGATCACAAGCAACCTTATTTAACTTTCCTGGTTTTGTTTCAATCTTCACAATTTACTTGACTAACAGACTTTTTAAGAACAGTTTATACTTCGGTGCTTCTATTGTGCTTCAGTTTATTTCCCAGAGCCCCAAACACTGCATGGAGAATGTGGAGCATGTTTCAAAAGGCTGCTGGTTATTATTATTCTTCAGTAGAGCTTGCCATCCAAATCAAGAAGCCGCCCTAAGCCAATTTCAGCCTCCCGTTATTTTCTGACACCATTTTAACCTATTGACCTGATAGAGCCATATGCTGGAATATATCCGATTTTAGGGATGTGGCAGTGCCAACTCTGCAGAGAAACCTCAGCTTTCATTTTCCCTGCAGACAAATTTCACCTTTCTTCGGTCCTGCTTAGTCATGCAGAGCTTATGCTAATCTCTGCCTGAAAAATGTCTCTCGTTAGTTATTGAATTTCATGCAAGAAACCTACCTCATCTTCTGTAAGAGATGGATCTTCCTCTCGAGACTTGTAAGATACTGAACTAAGCCTCTGTAAAAAAGGCAGAAAAAAAGAAAAAAAAAGGCTCATTACCTCAGTGTGAAGCCTATCATAAACCCCTCCCGTACAATCGATACATTATATTTTATTGTCATTAGCTCACTAGTTCCATTTTACATAGCTTATATCCCTAATATCCAAAGTACATCTCTGGAGATAACAGCCCTGAGGTTATTAGAGCTTTTTATTGTTTCGGCTCTTACCCTGACCTGAAAAGGGTAACAATTATGTAACAAAACAAACTCTGCTCTGCTGTATCCCTGCCTTTACACTTCTAATGAAGCAAGAGTCTGCAAAGGCTTTTGAACAATTAAAAGTCAGCTGCTGTGACACACTAGTTGGCCTTGATGTGATTTTCAGATACGCTTTTAGATGACAAAAGAACAATCCTCACTGGCACCCTCCTGATGATTATTATCCATCATGCAGGGGCTCCTGGAAGTGCTGCACGGGAGGCACCACATCCTCCTGCCCCATGAAATGCAGCAGCTGTGAGGAGGTGCAGAGCTGCACTGCTGCTCAGACCAGACATGGTGAAGAAGAGCTGCTGCAACCCACCCTGAGACAGGGAGCTCCACCCTTAAAGCATCTGCTGAATCCAGTTGCCACAGTAAAGTTACTAAAGGATGGAGGGCTTGGTTTAGTATCAAGTCTAACTTCAAGCATGTGAAGTGACTTGTGAAAATCTGGTCACGAACTACTGAAGGAAAAGCATTTTGCTTAGGACCTCTATGGCAATGAAGACTCTGGCTACCTCACAGTAGCCATCCTTCCCTCCGGGTGAGTAGGGTTTGCTGGAGTCCTGCTCCACAGGGATTCAGAGGGAGCCTTCCAGCACTCATTTTGGAGCTTCATGCAAATGCTCCACCTAAAATACTTCAGACTTCTTCCAGTGCAGACCAAGGTGGAGTAGAGCTATTTTTAGCACAGTCAATCAAATAAATCCAGGCACATACTAGACAAACGAGGCAATCAAAAATCCAGGCACATACTAGACACACAAGATTTTTTTTTTCCACAGAGGCTCGTTACAACAGATTCTTTCCTACTTCCATTTTTCTTGGTGTTTTTACTTCTGGTAAATACCAAGCTTCAAACCTCTGGGGCACTTCTGCTGAAGACCCTGGCCCAGAGAGCACTGCAGTCTGCCTGATTCTCCCCAGGGACCTTCCCCCACAACTAAGAACTTCCTCGTTTCTTTCTGATCTTCTGGAGAATGTGCTTTTAACCAGTGGTTTGTTTACTCACAAAAAACCCCCACAAAAAAACCACAACCAAAACAAAACAAAAAAAAAAGGAAGAAAACGGAGAAGTTCAAATGTAGCTTAGCCCTTTATTAGATCTGTTTCACTACAGCAGCTCAGTTCAGTCTTTCTTACTTGCAGGATATTTTTTTGTGTTGAAGAATAAATTAGTACTTTCGTCCTCACACACTAAAACAAATATGTGTTTTCAAAATTCATCATTGAATTTACTTCCTCTCATCAGTGTGTCTATAACCACTATGTATCAGGACCCCTTCTACAGTTTCCTACTTGGGTACTGACAAACACCCTAGGGTGCTGGCAGTCCTGTTCTTGTTTCCCTGTGACCAAGCATTCCTTCTAAATGTGAAACCTGTGACATGTCAATTTTGATGTCAAAATTGTCATCTTGGAAACTAAAAAAAAATACTTGCTCCTAAGCATTTTTTATCTAGCAATATTACAAATCATGCTTAAAACCTCAACAGCAGCAACACAAAGAGCATGTATCCTTATTTGCCTTCCACTTTCCCTCTGTCCCTTGACAGCACTTGCCTTTTTGCTCTTTGGCTCAGCTGTTGCTCCTGAGTTGGGCACCAGAACACGATGACCATTCTCTGCTAGCACATTTTTAAGAGATGCTTCGCTCATCCTCAGGCTGCACAAGTCTGAAATCAGATTGCAGCAGCCAGATTTACACATGGAGAGCATATCTACCAGTGCTCATTCTGGAAAGACCTGGGTGAAAAAGGAGATCTGTACTTCTTTTTTTTAATTAAAAAGGAAGAATTAAAGAAAAAACTATTCTGCCTCTCCAGTTTTTTAGAAGAGCTACACCCAAGTTTTTCCAAGTGATACTGATATTAAAGGTGTCTTTTTTCCAAAAGGTTTTTTCCAAAACCTTCCAAAGGATTTGGCTGTGTCACAGCAAATAACCAATTTAGATAATTAATCTTCACCCATTTACTGCAGATCTGGCTCCCAGTTGTCTCCCAAATGAGTGTGCATCAGGAACCAGCATGGGCTGGGGATCATCCTGGCTACCCTCTTTTACAGGGTGAGGCTGAAACAATCTGGACGTGGTCTGTTTTCTGTCTGTGAGCAGGGAGAAGTCTTGGTCACACAAGCAGCCTCCCTGCTTGTCCCTTCTTGATGGCCTATTACAGCAAAGTTTAATTGTAGTGAGACTCACATGAATTATGCCCAACCTCTTTCTTCATCAGAGTCAGAGCAGAAGGGTGAAAAGTTCGGGATATGGATGTCATGTTAAGCAAGGCAGCTAAGCAGCCTCACAAGAGAAGAAACAAAAAGAAATATCTACAGAGTATGTCTAACTACAAGAGTTATCAATATAACATACATTTCCATAAACATCTTGGTTTTGGTTGCCACATCGGAGAAAACGAGGCATTGCTCTGCATTGTTTGAAGGAGCAAAACAGAAGGGAAAATTATCATCATCACAACAGAAGAACAATCCCACAACCCCCTCCCCACAGAACGCCAACAATAATGACATTTATATATCCCAACAGTTATCATTTCCAGCTCTGCTGCAGCTGTAGCTCTCAAGGACAGGACAGGCACACGCTTCGATGCATAATGCATGCGCCGAGCAGCCAAGGCGGGAAGGATCCGATGCTGCCGAAGCTGTAACTCAGGGTGGCTTTAGCTCTGAATAAATTTTAATTAGACAAACTCCTTTTTTCTGGCACTTAGGGGACTGCATGTGTCACCTCTTGATTAATCCTTCAAAACATGAACCACTTTAATCAATTCCCACTCCTGGCAGTTACTGACACTGTATACACAGCGTGCTGGGGAGCTACACACCGGGCAAATGCTTCTCCTTTGTATCGGTGCCTGGGAAACACAATGATTTTCTGCAAGTCTTTTCACACCTGGTAGGAAAAATGTGGCTGTTACGGAAAGCTGTTCCTCTAAAAGTTTAATTAGAAAGTACATATGGCCTGAATTTGGGAGGGGGGAGTGTTGGTAAATTATTGTTGACAATCACATCTTAATTTTTTACTTAGCAAGCTCATTATTTGTAAGGTTGTGCCCTGAAGAGGACAGATAAACAATTTTTACATTATGAGTAGTCTCCAGTTTATGAATTTTGACTCAGTTGTCCTTTCTAAGTTCCATGGTTATTTAACAAGGTATTTTTCTGCCCTCTGCCTGGATTATTGAAATACCTCAAATAAGAGAACAACCAGAAACAAGTAACAATACTTCAGCTCTGCCATAATTTTCCAGGTAAACATTAACATTAAAACGTCACATCGCATATTAAGGATTTTTTTCAACTTTTCATCAATACCTAGTATTTGAGGCCTCAGACACCAAAATTATATTCATCTCCTAAAACCACAATTCTTTCATTCACAATTAATAACAGGTTACCTAACCTATTTTTGAAAAATGCAAACTCAATAGTTTATGAAATCTTTGTGCAATGATCTGAAAGCATCCTTAAAATTAACTCTGGTGAAAAACTAAAAATGGGAAAATAACTTGTTGAAGATGTCATCATTCTGTTTTTCAAGGAGTTCACCACTGACTTGTCTGTAGGCTGGGAGAAAGAATAAGCTGCTGAGAAAACACAACTTTTTGCTGCGATTTCAGCAGATAGAAATTACTTTTTTTGCGTGTGACATACAGAATTTGACAATACAAAAGCCTACAGCTGCAATCTCTCTTTCTGTCCCTGTCCTGCAGAGAGAGCGCAGATGAGTGGCTTTAAGCAGATGCCTAACACTTGCACAGCTAAGTCAAGGTGGTGCAACAAAGGAGGCACACCTGAAGTTAGGGCACCCACCAAGAAAGTCTCCCTGTCCTTTTTGTAGATGGAGGTTTCATAAGAAAAAAAAAAAAAAAAAAAGAAAAAAAATAAAGGATGCTGAACAAGATACAGATGCTGACAGAGATACTGGATACCTATTCTAATAGCTCCCACAAGCATAATACCATTAAACAAAGAAGCAGAAGCCTCCTATGCAATTTCTGGATAATATTTGGGAAAAGCCTTATGAAGTGAATACTGCAAGAATCCAAAATATAGGCTGCAACAGAATGTGTACATGCCTACAATGCAAAGACTACACTGTACATTTTCATATTTTCCTATTTTACAGTCTTGCATCACTTGGAATGTTTTTGTTTGTTTGTTTGTTTTGTTTTTTGTTTTTTTTCCTCCTGGTATTTTTTTGTTATTTTACAAAACAATAAAATCCTCTCCCACCCGTATGTTCTGTATCATTATTTGGCTGTTTGACAAGTACAAGGATTTGCAGTATTTACCTTCTCTGGTTTACTTGCTCCTTCTGTCACTTCTTCTTGTGCTTCCTTTTCTTGCACATTCTCATTTTCATCAAGAAGTTTCATGGGTACTGGAGGGGGAAGCTCATCCTCTACATCTGGTGTGTTGTCAAGAGGGCTTTCTGAATTAGCACTTTGGCGACTTTTTTTATTCCGGTCAACAGATGCATATTCTGCTGATTCAACTCTGCACTCAGGAATCTGATTCTGACCTTCAGAAACAGCCACTGATGCCTTTGATTTGCTGTTACAGCTCCCTTCCATGCTGGCTACTGCTCCAACATCTTTTATTTCCTTCACAGTTTCATACAAGCAGTCTTCAACTATGTTCTCCTGAGAGGAGCTGTCTTTCAAGACTTCGTAAGGCCCTTCCATTCCAAGACCTTGATAATTTTCTGCATTTCTGGCTGAGATGATGGTTTCCATGGTGGTGTTAGGGGGAATACTGGGTAGTTCCCGACTCTGGTGACATTTTATAGACTTCCCAAGACTATCCTGTTGATCTAGCAGATCAGAGACAGACGTCTGTACTTCTTCATAAGGTTGGATGCAGGCAGTTGTACTGTCCTCTGAGAGTACTAGAGAAGGAAGTATTTAAAACAAATGTGTAACTGTAAGGTGAATTCATACTCTATTCATCACTTTGGTTTTGTGTCTCACTGGAAAGGGTAAATGATCCTAATGCTCAGAAATCTCTAGTGGTTATCATGCTTTTTGTTTAAGGTTTCAGTTACAGAAATTTCTGCACTCTAGAGTTAAAATATCTTTCTCACAACATCTTAAATACTCTGTTCATCACCAAGTTACATTATATTGCAATGGCATCCACAGGAGAGCAGGGGATGGGTGGGTAGGTGCAGGTGTGTATGGATGTTCAGCTGTACTTGGTGGTATTGAGTGCTTACAGACTGCTCAGTCGTCTCAGATGGGCAATGCTGGTGGGAGGCCTCAAACCAAGAGCCTTTTAAAAAAGCCTTGTTTGATTTTCCTCTTTTCATTTCCCTATTCTTTGGAATCAAAAAAAGAAAGTGCCTTCTTGCCTTCTCCCTAACCAACCCTCACCTTGTTTAACCTGCTGGCCAAATTCTCGTCAGCATCACACCTCGCTCAGCCCCACCGTGCTCAGCCTCCCTGCACACTAGAGCAGAAGCTCCCCACTGGAAGGCTATGCCATGATTCTGTTAGTCTCACAGCACATCATGTAGGCTGACAACCTACTAATGAGCCAGCCACATGCACAAAAGTGAAGACCAAACTTCAGAAAGTAGTGTTAGGCAGAACATGTTATTTAAGTCCCTGTCCCTGAAGGGTATTAGGCACTGAAATCTATGGGACTTCTCATTTTACAATGCACATGTTTGGTATTTGCCTGCATTCTGGGATGTATACATGGGCACAAACAAGCATGTTTCAGGTGTAACCACATGTGACACCCTTTCTTTGACTAGCTTTACTTTTTCTTAGAACAGTTCTTGTGATACTCCCTCAGCAAAATCAACCTATTCTTCCATTTCCTTCAGTGTGTTTGACATGATGACATAAAGTGTTGCTGAAGTAGTCAGTACTCTTGATTTGGTGGTTGCCATGGACATTGCTTTCTCTTGTGCTCAGGGTATGCAGACTCATGCAGTCAGCACCAGCAGGGAGCTGTACCCTGGCAGCAAAACTCAGGATGGAACTGGAAGGATGAGATAGTCTGAATGGGAGATAGGAGGAGAAGAAAATAAAAACATCCATCTCCATTCACTTGGCTCCTACATACAAAGGGAGGGGAACAGGTGCAACAGGGAAGAATTGTCCTGTTGCATCCTGACTAGGACTCAAGGTGTCCTACTCACTACCCAGAATGCCTGCAGACTTCCTGAGGAACATCAGGAACTGGCCTGGAGAAGCTGGAACACATTTTCCCATTCTGGTGCATGCTCTCAGGGATTTCTGTGCTATGCAGAGCACTGCCACAGGCCCCATAAAGCACTCATCCCATCCAGCCTGGGGTGTATAATCAGAATTAATGAGAGCTCACATTTCCATGCTTCTGTGATTACGGGTAGTGGCACAGAAGGGGCAGGCATAGATAAAGGGTTTGCATAGATTAACAAAAAGCTGGCAGGTTGGGTAAGCTAAAAGAAACCAATGTTTGATAGTGCTCCTTCCATAGCCCTGTCCCTGCTCAAAAGGCAAGCAGGAATAGCAAAATAAAGAAAAATAAACAAGAAGAATGCCTAAAGTATCAATAAGAAATTGAAGCACACTGCTATTCAGAAGGGCTATTAAGCAGAGTGTAAACTGAGTATTATCAGATAGTCTGAAAACTGCTGGTTGACAGCACGACTTTTAGTAGCAGCTTTTACAGCTGCATGTGTGGTGACTCATGGCAAAGAGGAACGCTTCCCTGCTGCAGGGCTGTGTGCATGAGGCCTTGGTGAGCCACACACCTACGTACACAACAAGCCCATGGGCGGGAGCAGTAATTAGCTGCAAAAACAAAGATTAAAATGCCTTTAGATACTTGTCTCTCTGCACAGTGAGATGAGGAGGCAGGAGATGACGAGCGCAGCTCATGGTGTTAGTGCCTAGTGTGGAGACAACAGTTGGCTCCCAGCAGCTCTCAGCTTAGACTGAGTTTATTTTTAGGACCAGCCGAGTAAAATATTTTCCAGTGGTACTTCACTGTGAGTCATTTTGAGTGCTCAGCAAAGCAAAGACTAAGGAAAAAAAGAGAAAGCCTATTTATGTTGTGTGATTTCTAGAATGCAAAAATAAAAGTGACAGCCTTGCACAGCATGGTTGTAGTCCGTGGAGAAGGACCTGAAATATTCCCACAGCCTCCAGGAATGAGGCTCCGAAGTACAACTGCATCTTCTGGTCACATGACAGATCCCAACTCCATGGCTGGCTAAGACTAGGGAATGCTGCAGTCTTTGCCTGATAGTCTGGTCATTCTGCAGATGTAGTTTGGTGGCCCAGAGGAGGACCTTAGCACCTCCTCAGTGCTGGCTGGCATGGAGGCCTGGGAGCCAGGGTGTAGGGCTCTGCCAGAGCAACCCTGGCAGGGAGGTGGAGATTGTCCTGGTTTGAGCCAGGATGAAGCCAATTTTTCTTTTTGATCTGCTCAAAAGCTTTCTGTTGGTCAGGACCCCATTTGAAATTATTCTTCTTTCTGGTCACCTCATAGAGAGGTTTCACAATTTCACTGTAACATGGAATCTCAGCACCGGTAGCCTGGGCGCCAGGAAGAGCTGTGCTTTAGAAGTGATTGGCACTGCCTGAAATGCCAGCATCTCCATGGGATGGGCTACTGACTTTGCAGCATGGCAAACGTGATCGTTGCATTTTCTTAACTTGATGGTAAGTTTTGTGTGAATTATGTCCTACGGGGAGAGGACTGACTGCCCTCCAGAGAGCTGCATGCCCAGCCGCTCCAGAGGTGAAGAGAGGGAAATGCAGAATATTGGGGCAAATGGCACGACTGTGTGCTTGGAAAGCTGTCAGCTAGAAACCTGCCAACGTGCAGCTAAGGTGGGAGCAAGGGGATGGTGCTGCTGGGGCTTCGCTACTCACCCTCGCCGTTGCTGAGGGCCCCGTTCTGCTCACTGCTTGGAGGGGGCTCTGTAGCTGAACTTGTGAGGGAGTGGCTGAACACCTCCTTGTCAGAAGGCTGCAAGACAAATGAGTGACATATAACCACCACTGGGTCAGAATGAAAGTTTGCATAAATAGATACGTGGCGGATTTCATTCTGCTCTCGGAAGCTCTGACTCACAGGTATTGTTGGCAGGAGAGTCAAACCATGCTGACTGTACTCAAAGCTTTAGGTGCCTGTGTTTACAGATGTTAAAACAAATAAATACAAGTATGTCCAGAGTGATCTCCTGTCCAACCTTTATAGTAATAGACATTACCATGGCTTTAACACATGGGAAGACAGCGGCTGACAAAGGGCATATTGTTCTTGTGCTGCAGAGTGAAAGAAAGGCAGGAGATCTGGAGTACAGTGGTGGCAGAAAAAGCTCTGAGAAAATGCAGATTATTGGGGTCTACACAAGTTCTTCTCCCTGTTCTGCCACTTTTAAAATTTCCCTTGCTCAGTCTTCTCCAAGTTCCTGAGCTATTTTCCAATCTGTGTTGGTTTTTTTTTGCAAGGAGCATGGTACAAACCAACCACAAGACACATGTAAGCTGCCAGAAATAAATACTTACCACATTCATCAGATTTTCATGATCTCCATTCTGATGTTTGGCCTTCTTCTCCCTTAATGAAAAAGATGTATGAACTGTTACTACAGATTATGCTAATATACAAATGCAAATCATTAACTGACCTTACACACCTGCAGGGAACAAAACTGTGACTCACAATAATATTGAAAATAGAATAACTGAAAGTTATTACAGGGTAATTATTACTAGCATGACCTCTGTGTAAGGTCAGCACTGAAGTAGGGTGACAAGAAGCATATTTGAAGAGGTACAAAAAATGCACACAACCCTTTTCTCATTCAGTGTAAGATCACAATAAGGATGATAAAAAAATATTATCCTCAATTTAATAATACCTGAAATCCTCAGAGATATGCAAGATACATGTTTTGGGGACAGATTACCTGGGGAGTTCCCCACATGGTGTCAGTGAAAAGTGTTTTCCTCTGAAGAATTAGCAAAGGCCAACAAAATCCAGCCTACTCCCACTCAGAATGCTGGTTATAATTAATAATCACAGAATCAAAGAACCACATGATAATAAACATGAGCAGTTCAAGAAGGCCTACAAACTTCATAGCAGCAAAAGCCATAATTTTTAAATGAATCCTGCTTCACTGGGTACTTCACAGGACTCAAAGTATGAATCATGTTTCCAGTTTTTACCATTTCAGAAATACAGCTCTTATTGTGAAATACTGTAACAGACTATGAGCTTAAAAAAATAATAATCCTTCCCCTAGATGAAATGGGAAAAAGGTTAGAAAAAATTGACAATATTAAATCTGTTCTTCTGAAGTCTGCAATGCACCTTACTTCCTACATTAGCAATTGTTAAAATTCTACCTAACTGGGAAATAAGAAAACAGAGCTAGCAAGGCTTGACTAATGCAGAGCAGAGTTCAAGTTTATAAATACTTAATTTTCTCTCTGACCAGTCTGCCCTGGTGGAAAACCCCTACGGGTTGAGCTGCCCAGCTCCCCAATGCCATCAGCAGGGCTAAGCCTTGAAATGTGAATAAACGAACTCAGTAGAAGTGCCTGTATTGGTGAATTCAAGCCCTTTACAGAAAAGAAAATAAGAATAAGGTGCAAGATATTCATTACTGTCACTGATTCTTACTCATGTTGGCTTGAATGGCAGGATCAATTCTCTAGTCTTCAGGAATGACCAAAGCAAAGCTGAAATACATAGCAATAGTTTGCCTCTCCTTTTTACCAATACTTTTTTGGTCCTATTTTGGCCACCTAATTTTCTTAGTTTCAGGCCAGCAGTGTGATCTGCTAACAGTCAGTGTCCTGCACTCCAGGCTCCAGCTGAGGAGAAAGCACCTAGCAAACACAACAGTAGTTTCCCTTCACAGCAAAAGAGAAAAAATAATTTTAAATTTTAGAATGAACAGAACTATTCAAATTCAGGTTTCTCTGAAAACAGATTTTGTACTGTGCTTTTTTTTATTTCTACACCTAAGCCCTCAGTATTTCTTGCTCAGTCGTTATTAGTGAAGCTAATCCTGCACTATTTCAATCCCTGCACTATTTGACTCAAGAACTGTTACTGCCTGCTAAGCTCCTATGCCTTACCTGTTGCAGCTGGAACAGAGGAAGATGAGGAAGGTGAGGAACAAGAGTGTTGTCACAGCTGCCAAACTTCCCCACAGGATGATGTGGACCTGTCCACTGCCTAAGAAACCACCCTCTGGCCCCATGGTACTAGCAGGAGCTGGTGTCACTTGGGGATGAAGAGGTTATTCCTTGGAGAAGGCTGGCATCTGTGCTGCACACACCTTCTGTTTCTGCAGAAAGAAAAACACCATTAGAAGTGAGTATAAATTTTGAAGATAATGAATCTGACAGCTAAAAATCTGGCAGGAGAGATTTTCAAACCCAGATCTTACAGAAAAACAGTATCAAATACAAGCCAGCCAGCCAAGGAGATTTTCAGCAACATTTTTGGTGGTGACATAGAACAAACCTTGTCAAGTATTAATGCCAGCTGTTACTTATCTACAATCTCAACACAAATAAAATTACAGTATCTCTGTACTTGTATTTTGAGGAACAAGTTGCTAAATCCACTCCAAGGGACAGAGTAGTTTATTTTGCAGTGATATTAGTTAACTTCAGTGGAAAGTGAGCTTTCAAAACCAACTACAGCTTCTGCAGAGTAAGCAAGCCAAAAGGAGAGCTGCAGCAGGTGTTCACCTCCTTCCCTCTTAATATTTCCTGCCCACACATGATTTGGTGCTTCAAGTTCAGTGACAAATAAGCTGGGTCTTACCACACAAGGAATACCACAAAAATGTTTCTTACAGTAGATTAGATCTAATCTTATATCTATGTGAAATGGTTATTCTCTTAATAGAGAATGGAGAGTAACGGTACTGAATGTTATGTTTTTGCTTCTCACTACCCCAGTCTATGAAAACAACTGATGAGAAAAGTAGACAGAGTGGTTTTAAGAATTTGTATAAACACAACTTCTGCTACAGCACAGCAGCCCCTGGAGAAACATCCTGGGGAAACAGTATTTACAAGACATAAGTTTTGGTATACAATATATTCTAAAATTATATAGCTATATTTAATGTCATACATTGTTGACGTGACAAAAATAAAAAGAAGTCTTTTATTCTGCACTGCTGAAGACATCAATTTCTCTCTAATTTAGCAAGAGGTTGTACAAAGTCTATTTACAGGCTTTCAGCCAGATTTCAAGATTGATAAACACCAAAATCGAATACAATGGCTATGAAATGAGCAGTTACATTCTGGAAATTAAAAAGTGTCACAAACATAACATTGAACAATGTCTAAAGCCACTAAGACTTTCTTTAATTTTATGCATATATTTTAATATATTTTTTAATATTTTTTTTTTCTTTGCAACAATTTGTAATAGCAAATTCAACTAGGTACCAATATTGTATCTGTAAAAAAACCCAGCATGTCACCATTTTGTTACTGAAATGTTACAAGAAAAAAGATAAATTTCCAGGAAAAAGGTCACTCACATCAAAGGAAATCTGGAGCATCAGCAGAAGAAACTTAACTGGATAACTCCTACAAGTAACATTTCTGTTCCTACATAAAATGGTCTCATTCGTTTCTACCATGCAGAATCAGACTTCTGGACACCTTCCACAAAAACCCAATTTTTACTGTTTTATCCATGGGGGATAAAAGTTAGTGGGTTTTGTTTTTTGTTTTGGTTTTCGTTTTTGCTGGTTACGTTTTCGGTTTTGTTTGTTTGTTGTTTTTTTTCCTTTTCTATATTAATGGCATCGCAATAACTTGACATGGGAAGAACAAAACAAAAGATGGAAAGAGCTGCCAATCCTGCAATGGCAAACTTCAAAGAGCAGTCAAATATTTCTAGTTTGGTGAAGTTATAAGCCACCCAAATAATCAGTAACTTTCCTAAACCCATAAATACACAGGATGGGAAAAGCAGATGTAGTACACCTTGCAAAAACACAGGTATCTCTTACTGGTGGCCTTTAGCACCAACACCAAAGGGCCACCGCCTGCAGAGGACAACCACTGACCAGCAGTGCTGCCTCTGTGGTTATCTTGGTAGTGCTTGAAAAACTAACATTTAAAAGCAGTGGTAGACCACTCAAAAAATTAGGTACATTGCAGATACGAACCTGATACAGCCCTGCCTCATCCTTGTTTTAAAGCAAAACTCAAATTATTTCTACACTGAGTCACAGTCACATCACTGACTGAAATGGAGAGACCTTAAGAGAAGCTACATCAGATTTAGTTGGGAGAAAACCTGGTGTAACGCCCACAAAGGACTCCCTGATAAGGTGCAAGGGCACTGTGCACTGGGATGGATTCCTGTAGAGATGATGGACTGCCCACATTTAGAAAACATTACAAAGCATATGGCATTGGCTGCCTTAACCAGCTCCAAACCTTTGTTAAGTGTTTAGAATAGAATGTATTTTTCCTTTCAACTTCATGAATTTTCAAATACATTTTCTTCCTTGTTAAAGCTTTTAAAAATTAAATGACCCTTTACCTTCTTTTTTTCCCCCCCATTCTTTTGCCTTTAGAAAATACTAATTTTCTTCCTTCCTTGAAAAAAAAAAAAATGAAATGAAAACATAATGTGAAAAAAAAGAAAACCGAATAAAATCTTTTTTCAGCATTTTTCTTTTTTCCCTTAGTTTTCCCAAGAAATAAAAAGATATAAGGCACATGAAAAAGAAACCTTTCTTCCTTTTTTTCAAATAGGAGGCAAAGAAAAATATAAGAAAAAGAACAGAGATTTAAACATACTTTTCTTTTTTCTTTAAACAGAATCATGTTGTTTTTTAAGCAGACACAAAGTTGTCTTGAAAGATATAATTTAAATTATTTCTACTACTAAGTTAATGATTTTAAACCTACCCTGAAGAACAATACTATACTCCTCTCAGAAGACTAAATAATGTACCAAAAGCTAATACAGTAGCAAAAGTTATTCTTTTATTCTGCATGCATATTCTTAAAGCTGCTGGCCTTTAAATAAAGATAATATTTGAGCTAAGGAAAGCTGATGATGCATGGGGAGCAGCCCCATGGAAAAGCTGCATCTTTGAAGACTTCAGTACAGAGTTAGTATGTGTTAGGATGAGAAGGAGCAGATGGAGTTGAGACTGAGCTTAAAAAGGAGTGAGAAGAGAGGGACAGAGTTGAGGGAGACCTACACGTCAATGTCAGAAGTGCAAGACTGAAGCTGGACATGAGGCATCCCACCAGGCAGAAGCCAAATGGAGCACAGAGAATGACCAAGGACAGAGATGTAGTCAGTCTACAGCAAAAGAGCAAGAATTCAGATACCAAAGCTTTGACTGTAAGTTCAGAGAAGGAGGTCAGAAAAGGTCAGAAAAATGCAGTGGCACTTGAACCAGGGGAGGCAGCTGCTGGAGACACCAGTTAATTGTGCAAGCAAAATACAGTCATAAACTGGAACAGACTGACGACAGACGGGGCCCTTCATGAAGGAACCTGAGCAGGCAAGATGTGACCAGTGACTCCTCTTAGCTCCTTGACTGGCAAGAGTTTGGTGTGAGTGCCAGAGGACCTGGAAGCTGCTCAGCACATAGGACAACTGGAAGTAAATATATTATAATAAATAAATAAATAAATAAATAAATAAAAGCATCCCTGCATTCACCTGCTGTGAACCCTTTCTTGTGAAGTGCCTTCAGAGGGGCTTAATCCTACTGTTTAATGCCTCCCAAACCAGGAGGCTGAAATAGGACTCACTTGGGCTGGTGCCTTTAAACAAGAAAGCTTCAGAAATACTTTAAATGGGACAAGTTCCCACCAGCTGCCCTGACCAGCCGTGGACAGAGACCTGGCAGAGAGATACATAAAAAATACAACAGTCTGCACTGCCTCTGCTTGGTGCATGTCTGGACACTAAAACGTTAATGTATGCTTAATATAATGGATTTTGGAGCTACTTCAGAGGATGGTTTTCAAGAGAAACTTATTTGCAATCATAACTGGAACAACGAGCAGCACATTTCAAAAAGCTCTTAAGAGAGCTGACATGGTTAACTCCTGCTTTTACAATAAAAAGTTATATTGTACTGCCCTCTGGTGAATCTCTGTTCGGGGACAGGGATTTGTGGCTCCTGAGAGGGTGCTTCAGAGCTGGACACAAACCCTCCTAAGGTGAAGCTGACATGGGGTCTTTCTGCTGGGCTTGAAAAGAAGTCCTACCACCACCCCTGAAAGGCTGCCAGACTTGAATGGTTTAACCTTGCAGAGAGGCATTGCTGAGACAGAACAACAGTCAATTGCACTGTTTTTTGTTGTTGTTGTTGTCTGTTTTTGTTTGGTTGGTTTGGTGTCTTTTTGTTTTGTTTTCTTGGTTTTTTTGTGGTTTTTTTTTTTGCATGTGAAGATTATTTAAGGTGAATATTCTTTTCACTGTACCCTTTCCACAGCAACTTCCACATAATTTGCTTAAGTCTAAAAAAGGGTAATAGAGACAGGCTTGGAACACCTGGATAAGAACACTGGTTATTCCACCTCAGGCAAAATGCAAAAAACCAGCTTGTGTTCACTATTTCAAAGCCACCATCAGCTCAGAAAACTAATCCTTACAATATATTGAATAAAATGGCTCCTTCTTGTGGGAATGTCTTCTTGCTTTTTAGACATCAATATTTGCAATTAGTGGAACCTATATGACAAATAGCACCCACAGCCATTTCCTCAAAATTGCACTTAAATGCCCAATTACGTTTGTGGTTTCAGAAAGACAGATATTTCTATGCATGACTCGCACTTCCACGGTAAATAATGTGTTCTTTTTCCTTGCAGCTGCTGCAGGGAGAAAGCAGAACTGAGGTGGTTCAGTCTGAGTCAGTGGTGAAAGGATTGTAGGACCTGCAAGTGCAAATTTGCTGTCAAACTGAAGAAAGAAACAGGTACCTGGGGTGAAGCAGTTTTGAGCATAAGATACAGGCTGCAACTGTAGGGAACACATGCAGTGACAATTCCAACTAGTGAGGAAAAGCTTGGATTGAGACCTGAACTCCTTTGAAGCCTGGGAATGGGTAGATCCAGTATGCTTTGGGTCCAGGATCTGGCCTGGATTTTCAAAGCACAGATCTGCCCAATTTATGCTGAAGTGTGTACTGGACCTGCTTGGCAAAGAAGCAGATGCCATGCCCCAGTGGCCTGGGAGACGTGGGAGGAA